CTTAGGGTGTAACATCTTCTCTTGTACCACCTGTTATAAATGGCTCAGTCCCAAAATAGGATTATAATCAAAGTTTACAATTTATTAAAAGAATAGAGGTAAGCAAACAGCGCTGGGTGCACCGGGAGTCTCCGCTCCACCTAGACGCACACCAGTTACATCAAGTAGCTGATTTTTATGCTCCTAGGCTAATACATATTCATTACTACTTCTAAAAAAAAACGGGTTAATATGATTAGCTTCCGGGATCCAAACCCTCCTACTGGAGCATGCGCATCAGTCTCCGATGGTCCCCCTGGGGGTCTCTGGGGGTCTTTCATGCTGAAGGCTCATAGTCTTCCTCTCAGTTTTTTTTTTTCTTGTCCTTCCCCTTTGTACTCCTTGGCAGCATGTCAAAAGCTTACACAGCGTCCCCTGCAAGTTTTGTCTTCTAGCCGTCCTTCAGCTTCTTTCTTTCTTCTCCTTAATCTCCTGGCCACCTGGCCAGATATCAGAGGCTTGCATAGTGTCCCATTCAGAAGCCATAACAGTTACTAGTTGTTAGCAGTTGTTCTGAAACCCCCAGACATCAGAGACTTCAAAGAAAGAACATACAAATACCAATAGCTCTCTATTGACACTTCACATGTTGTTAAAACATTCCTCACAGGCCATTCACAGGGACACTCCAGTATAGCAGTGCTAAATCAACCACAAAGAAGGCAAAAAGGCTGTATCTGTTAGGAATAAGAGTTCGGAATAACAAAAGCAAATAGGCTCATGGATTTGAGGCATATTTCTGAAGATTTGATAAATTGACTATAATGAGGGGGAGACTGGGACACTGGGAGGAAAGGGAAGAAACCACATCTGTGGAGGAATTAAATTGCCAGTGCAGGACCCAGAGACAGACAGAACTGCTCTCTATTGACACGAATTGTTAAAATATTCCTTTGCAAGGTACAAGAACTATATACATTAACCATTCTGTTTTTCTTAGACTTGTGGTTATACGAGGGTATGTAAGACAGAAGGTCACATTCATCAGGAAAATAAATAAATAAGTAAATAAATTTTTATGTCTGTACTAACCAGGGGTGATTTGTTATCCCAAATCCTCGTGCCATCGTATTAATGACTGCTTGCACCAAGGGACAGCGAGAGTAATCCCCCATCTCCAGCAATGTCAGCTCTGCTGTGATTGCTATGTAATTAATCCAAGTCTGATGCTGGAATGAGGACATTGTATTCTGATGCATAATGAAACTTACTAATGGTGTCCTGCATAATTTATGGGATTTAATCATTCTAATGTAGATATAAGTATAATATGTAAACAGTTGTGTGGTTTTTTTTCATTAACTCTATGAACTAACTTACTATGAAAAATTAAGGGTTGGGATGTTTAATTTTGCCAGCTGTTGTTGAATTGGCCCACTTTGGTGAAATACAGTAATAATTGATTTCCTGTAAAACACTGAAAGCAGCTACCACTGTTATATATGGAGTGGTAAATCTTGTTGAGAAGTTGGTTGATATTAATAAAGAAGAGGGAGATGTGGGAGTGTGGCCATGGGGGTCGGAAAGCCCCATGGTTGATGATAACATCAGACTCTTAACGATGAGGCTATCAGGAATGTAAAGAGTTTAGAGGGAACAAAGAAGGGTGATTCAGGAGATGCCTTGCTGTCTGGGGTTGCTTGTTCTCCCACTGTTAAGGAATGGAAGTTGCTGGGGGGTTGCTGGTTGGAACTGTTAAAATGTGTTGTTTAATGTTATATGATAATCATACTATTAGTGTGGGAATATAAATGTTGTTTTTGCAGAGTTACGTTGTTTAGAAGGAGGGAATGTGGTACTGAGATATGCTTACAGTGATGAGAAAGCTTAGCAGGTGACCTTGTAAAATGCAGACAATCAGACTCCTTAGGACAATTAGGTGAAAATCACGGTGTCAAGTCAAGTCAGATAAGTGAAGAAGCATTACCACTTCAAACAGTAAAAATGTCAAAAGAAAATTGAAATTTAACAGGCCAGCAACTGAAGACCATGCATTGTTTGTGAAGCATCAGATAGATTGTGAACCTGGATTACCCACTCAGTGGGGAAACAGGGGAGGGTCCTGTCATCAAAAAGTATATAAACTGTGTTTTGGAACCAGTAGATGCCCTCTCTCCTGCTTGTGGGGTGCCCGCCATTGCAATCATGAATAAATTACTACTTCACTGAGAACCTCGCCTGAGCCTAAATTATTGGCTACGGAGTGTTTCTCACAATTTGGGGGCTCGTCTGGGATCCAGTCACCTACTGGGGAGCCCCACCGCCGCAGCAGCAGGAAGGCATGCCCCGCTGATTTCAGTGGTCCTGTGCATCAACGGTGGCGGTTCTGCGGAAAGCTGACAGAGGGCTGGTTAAAGAGGCAGGATCCGTGAAGTAGTGGGGAAAGGAATAAGGCAGGCACTCCGGGTTTTTAAGAATCGATCTGGTAACTCTGTGCACAGACCAAGGTAAGAAATATTAAGTATTGCCTTGGGGGTCGGGTGAGACTCTGTGTGAAGAGTCTCGGGAAATCTGGTGTACGGTAATCCTTGCACGGGGAAGTGCTGGGTAGTACACCAGGGAATCTGGTAAACTCATAGGTGTGCGGTAACCCTTGCACGGGGAAGTGCTTGGCAGTACACCCCCATTTTTCAGAACGTTAGTGTGTGGTACACTGCAGAAGGGAAATTTCTGTAGCAACATACTGACGAGGGCTAGGAAAAATGGGAAATATGAGTTCCAGGGGACAGGGAGATATCCCTGGGGGAGTGCCTACCAATAGCTCTTCCTGAAGAATGATAAAAAATTGGAAACATAATTCCAAAATTAGAGGGATTGTAAAAGAAAAATAATTAAAAAAAGGTTAAATATTGTGTATCAGTCTGGACAAAAGAACAAATTAAGGAAACAGCAGTATTTTGGCCAAAATACGGGTCTGATGAAAATTCAGGCTTTAAATTTATGTGTAAACAATAAGATTCCTTTTTCGGAGAAGGAGCCAAGTTATGCTCCCTATAATCCTAATATTGTACCCGTGGCAGCAGCAGTCACTCCAGGAAGGGAGACAGGGACTGTAGTTAACACTGTCCCTAAAGAAGGATCGTACTCTAGGCTCTGGCAAGAATTAGAACAAGGTAGAAGATATATTGAGAATTTTGCCTTCCCTAATACTAACAGTACTAACACTAACTGTGTATCCTCTTAGGTGAACTACCCCCCCTCCTTACCAGCAGAGAGGTTAGGACTTTTAAGGAGAGGAAGTCTTTATTTGAGGACCCCAACAGCCTAGCTGAACAATTAGACCAGTTCCTACGACCTGACATATTATACTCTTGGGGAGGGAATTATGTCTATAAGTATGTTGTTTACAGGGAAAGAAATGGGAATGATCAGGAGGAGAGCTGCTATACAAGAATGGGAAAGAGCTCATCCTCCAGGACCAGGGGTAATACCGGCAGGGCAGAAATATCCACTTGCCAATCCTGGCTGGAATAATAATAGTGTGCAACACAGAAATCATATGAGATACTTGGGGTCAGAATGAGAAAGTACTCGGGGATGAGTCCCAAGGACTCAAGGCTCTTCCCAAGGGCTCTTGAAAGTTCATTGTGTGATTAAAGCCTGGCAAGATACACAGAAAATGCTTCAGAAGGTGGGGGGATGTAGTGAACAGTCACTGGGGGACCCTCCTGCAGGAGGCCCTGGAGGTGTGTGTCCGGAGGGAGAGAGAAGGAAAAGCAGAGAGCGAAACTAATGGTATTGACAGTGCAGCAGGTAGTGAGGCAGAGGGTTGGAGAAAGAGGAAGAAAATCTTCAGGGGGAGTCAGGGCCAGGATGGAAAGGAGAGGAAGAGAGATGAAGGAATGGCAGGCAAAGAAGGCTGCCTGTGTTGTGGCCTGAGTCCTAGCAGGGACAGGCTTTGATAAGATGTTTTAAGTGTGCTCTGCCCACCACAAGGTTCCTGAAAGCAACAAAACGTGATTACTTTTCCTGCATTTCATTACCTCTTGAAACCACACTAAACAATAAATGTTAACAGTTCTAACCAGCAACCCCCCCCACAACTTCCATGCCTTAACAGAGGGGAAAACAAGTAGTCCCAGATGGCAGGGCGTCGCCTCACCCTTCTTTATTTCCTCTAAACTCTTTACATTCCTGATGACCTCATCGTTAAAGAGTTTGATGTTATCACCAACCATGAGGCTTTCCGACCCCCATTGCTACATTCCCAAATCTCCCCCTTCTTTATTAATATTATGATAAATTAGTAGGGGTTTGTTCATTGTCCTTGAGAATTTAAAGAATCTACTGAGGAGATAAGGTTTCACAACTCACGGCATTGTAACATGGGGACAAATGGGGAAGGGGGGTTGGGTACACATCCTTGTTAAAACAAAGATTCTGTAAGATACCACCCACCCACTGCAAGACATCCTGTTTTGCCCCCACCTGAACACAAGCCCAACGTGTGATCACCGGAGGAAGAATAACGACCCCCAACAACAGACTGCGCAGCCTCAGAGCAAGTCTCAACAAGTCGACAAGTCTCGACAAGCCGGAACTTCAATGCTATAAAACAGCGACACTGGAAAGGGGAAGTTGCGTGCCGTGGCGGAGCGGAGACTCCCCAGCTGCCCAGCGCTGTTTTGCTTGTGTCTGCTTACTTGATTAATAAAATAATTTCAATAGACCAGTAAATTGTGTGGTCTAACTTATAACAATTTGGTGCGTGACTCGGATGAACGCAACCTGATAGAAAGACCTTCGGAGGGGGCGCCCTGCTGATTTCAGCGGCCTTCGCTAGGACTACTTTCATTCAGATCCTTCACCGACGAACCCAAAATTAGACACAAGCAAATAAAACCGATAAACCCCAGGCAACCTTTGTGCACGAAGCCCGAACAAAGACCCACGGTGTGGGTAAGTATAGGCCGGTGTGCCGTTCAGTTGGGGTTGGGTATCCCAGAACACAACAAACGAGACGTCCAATTGCGGACGAAGCGAGTGTGGACCCCTCGGTAGTGCGGTTCCCACATCCCGCGAGGGACTGGGCCACGAAAAGGGGGAAGCGATCCATGCATGTGTGTGTGAAGGTGTTCCGGAAGATGGGACAGAAGAAGAGTAAGCCTTCTGGTCCCATGGGCGGGGTAACGTCTGATGTTGGGTTACCCCGGGATTAATGATTAACAATTTGGAGGATTCCCCTTTTAGGTGGGGAAGGAATAAAGTAAAAATGATACATTATTGTGTTGAAGTTTGGGGTGGTAAACAGATTCGAGGAGACCACCTTTACTGGCCTGTATTTGGGTCTTTTGAAGATTGCGTTTGTCAGGCCTAAATATTTATGTAAACTCAAAGGAACCCTTTAGTCTGGAAGAAAGTGAGTATGCGCACCTCTGGATAAATTCAGATATGAGGACGCATCTATATCCTCTAAAAGAAAAAGGAGGGTGGGATAAAAAGAGAAAGGACTTGGAAGTCCCAACACCGCCCCACCAACGGCTCCCATCCTTAATGGACTCCCCGATTAGCTAATCCAGGAGAATCGGAATCGGATCATGAAACACAGGGGCCGGTAACCAGAAGCAGTGCAAGAAATCAGAAATTTAAGGGAGGGATTAAGGGAGGGATTAATCCCTACGAGAAATAGCAATGGGGGGACCCAGCCAGGAATGGAATATATGGCCATCCCCATTAATTCTGGGGATGTCCGAGATTTTAAGAAAAGGACAGGAGGAGGGTAAGCGAGCTTTAATGGCAACTGGCATAATGTTTGCAGCTGCTGAGGAATAATTCTAACTGGAATAATAACTGTACATTGTATATTGTATATATAAAAGCCCGGGCATTTTTGTAAAGTATTCTTTTATACATATGTTAATATGTAAATATGTAAATAAGAACTGCCATTGAGGTGTATGTCTAAGGGAACAAAATTTGCCCAGGCATATCATCGGCTCATCAGGTTTAAATGTCCTCGGTGTAATTGTCAACAGGCAGTTAATTTACAGTGGTCTGATTTTACTTGTGTATCTATATATTGTGGAGTTTGGAGGGATTGGGATTGACTAGTAAAGAGCTTCTAGGAAAACAGTGGAATATTAACCACTGTAGATTACAATAGGAAAAGTTCAAAGCAAAGAAATCCCGAGGAAAAGCCCTCTAGGATGTACTAACACATTGGAGGGATATAGTGGGGTGAGAGGGTACAGAAAGTAAAGAACTCTTATCAAATATTGTAATCAATGGTGGCCACTTTAAAACTAGAGGATGGAGCGGAGTGGCCCCTAAATGGAACTATTAATTATAACACCATACTACAGTCAATGTTGTTTTTGTGGAAAGAAGGAAAATGGGATGAAATATGGTATATTGATTGATATGTTGTTTCAGTATCTTGGAGGGAAAAGGTATGGAATTAAGTTGGACTCTGACTGAGCCTTTGGTGCTGGTATTAGAAAAGTACGGGCTGGAGAAAGGTAAAGGAAGTGTTAAAGGGTTGCTGAAGGTTAAAGGTGTGGCATGTAGTATTTAACAGCTGTTTGAAATTGAATGAGCAGGGAAAGGTGATGTAGGCATTATCTAAGTAACAGTCTAGAAGTTTTGGTATATTTGCATATTTGCTGTGGTGTTTGTTCAGTTTCCCAAGCATCAGGGAGGGGGGAACAGCCTGCTCCACCAGGGGCCTCTCCAGCAGGGGGGCTTCGGCTCCAGCGCCTGGAGCGCCTCCTCCCCCTCCTGCACTGACTTTGGTGTCTGCGGGGGGGGGGGGGGGGGGGAGTTCTCGCTCTCCCAACTGCTGTTGAGCAGCAGGTTTTTGTTTGTTTCTTTGTTTGTTTTCGTGGCTGTGCTCTCACAGAGGCAGGGACTGTGTTGCTCATGGCTTGGCTCTGGGCAGCAGTGGGCCCCTTTGGGGCCAGATGAAATTGTCCCTTATCTACCACGGGGAGGTTTCTGGGGCTGTCACTGCAGTTTCCCACCCCCACACCCCTCACACCCCCCGAACCTTGCCATCAAACCCAATACACTGGGGAACAGCTAAGTCATTACTGACTTCTAAAGTATCAGGGATTAAATTAACTAATGAAACCCTAAATGTGATGGGGGTAGAAGGGACTGGGATAACAGTGCCACTTTTGGGGAATACCAAGCTGAGACCAGGGGATAAAATGATCACTGGGCAATTATTGTATGTATCCAAGGCGGAGACTAACTTGTTGGGAAGGGATTTGATGATTAAATTGGGCATTCAAATAGTAAATTGTTAGACTGGAATAACAGTGTTATGAATGGAGTGCTCTTTGGCCCTGAGAGCAAACATACATGTATATTCACCTCTGACTGGAAAGACCCTGAAATGGGGGCGGAAGCAACAATATAGGTGGACAATTTTACCTCAGGGGTTTACAGGGCCACCTATCTATTTGGGTAAATTCTAAAAAAGATTTTGGAGCAATTACAACCTCCCAAGGAGATATTAATGTTACAAATATGTGGATCATTTTAAGGAAAATCGATACTCCCTGATGGGAGAGAAATGCTGAATAAAGTGATAATGAGGCAAATATTAACTGTTTTACATCAGAAGAGTCATTGGGAGGTGCAAGCAATGTGTGATGTTGTTCTAAGAAAGCATGTCTGTGTAGGAATATATACTTTAGGGAAGCACACATGCAGAGGATGTACTATATGTCAAAAGGTAAATAAAAAGGTCTTCTGTAACCCATCTAGAGGGGGACGGGAGCCAGGGCTTTGACCTTTCCAAAGTATACAGGTAAACTTTACTGAGTTACTTGTTTGTCCTAATTGACCACGTGACTGAATGGGTGTAAAGCTTTACTGCAAGGATTAAAGCAGGCCTTAGAGATTGAGTGGGATTTTCACAGCCCCTGGCACCCCTCCTCTTCTGGAAAGGTAGAGCGAATGAATGGTGAAATTAAGAAACAACTAACAAAACTTGTGCTGGAAACTAAGTCTTCTTGGGTAAAATGCTTACCCCTTGCACTGTTAAACATGGACTCAGCCCAGAACTGATGTAGGAATTTCTCCTTTTGAAATGCTATATGGTATGCCCTATGACTTGGAATTGCCACTTGATCACCCTCAATTCTAATTAAGACTTGGAAAGAGACTTTTTTAACACCACGATGGGGAAGGCCCCTATGTTGTTTTGCTTACTACAGAAACAGTCGTCCAGACTGCGGAGAAAGGGTGGATACATGCCAGCCGTGTTAAAGGACCCATCTGTGATGAGAAGTGGGAGATTGCTCCAGGAAACAAAGACCTGAAGCTCACATTGCGACAAACTCGATAGGTACCGTGGGTTAAGGTAGAGGCTCTCCCCTGAAGAACACTACTGCTGCCGAGAAGAACTAAAACCTCATAGTTGGCTGCAACCCAACTGACGAGTGAGGCAGAGGAGTGAATAAGTGGGGAAAGAAATGGGCCTCAGCCATTCCTATCAGTATTTGGGGGTTCTCGCAGTGATTTCATCCTGCATAGCGACTCAACACCACCCCCACCAACCTTTTAAATGGACTTTAAGTCGATTCGAAGATCAACAGGTTATTGCAACCCAGATAACATCAGGGGGGGGCCAAGCTTTACTTCTACACTATGTCAGCTGATCTCGAGGCCCCGATGCTGGGAATATATGGGATTTTATTTCTGCCCAAGTTCTAACCCGGGAACGGGGTACTGTAAATGCCTGAACGTGTATTATTGTGCATACCGGGGGTATGAAACCATTGCTACAGACTGGACACTCGGGGCTGGTCAGGATAAATTCTTACAAGTGGGATATGGGCTGCAAGGTTGTAACTGACAATTGGATCCTTGTTACAGGTGGCGAGGGCATGGTATAGGGTATACAGGAACCTTCCACGGAAATAAGGAAATATGCAAGGTTCTATATATAAATAACAAACTTGGATGATACTAGCTGGGTACTAGGAAAAATGTCAGACATCTTTTATGAACACGGAACAGATAGGGGAGGACTCATACTAATAAAGAAGGAAAAACCCGAGACTTCCGAGGTAGTCGGGCCTAATAAAGAGTTAAGAGGGGAAGGTTTGGTTGTCCAGGCTGTAAAGATACCTGGGACTGCCCAACCTACTACAGTGTTTTCTAATAAGTCGACAGAGTTATCCTTTCCCACACTGCTTCCAAGCATTGTGAAAAAAGAAAGGGGTTGTACCCAAGAGTAGTATGTGGAAAGTTATAAATGCTAGTTTCCAGGTACTAAATCAAACTAATCCTGAGATAACTGAAGGGTGCTGGCTATGTGTAAGTGTTAAGCCCCCATATTATGAAGCTATAGGAGATTTGGGGAGGTCTGAATATTCAAATGAGTCAAATCCTTCCAAGTGCAGTTGGGGTCAAGAAATCAGGATAACTTTGACTCACGTTATGGGAAAAGGTAGATGTATTGGCACAGTTCCAAGAGATAAAAATGATCTTTTCCATGCCACTGAAAAAATGGACCAAACACACAAATGGTTAATTCCTGCAAATAACACTAGGTGGGTATGTTCATCGTTGGGAGTCACTCCTTGCCTATCTTTAAAATTGTTTAGCACATCTCATGATTTTTGTGTACAGGTGGTCATTATACCAAGGATTCTATACCACACTGAAGAGTATATGTATACCCATCACACAGTGGCTGAATACCATCTGGTAAAGAGGGAGCCTATTACGGCCGTCACCTTAGCCACTTTAATGGCCCTCGGGGCTGCAGGTGCAGGAACTGGAATTGCTTCCCTGATAAAACAAAGCCAGGAATTTACTTCTCTACGCATTGCCGTAGACAAGGATCTGGCCCGTATAGAGCAATCAATAACAGCTCTGGAAAAATCGGTTAGGTCCATTATCCAAAGGAGGAAGATGACGCTGAGACTTTAGTGCTAAACAAACAAATGCTTCAGAAATTCAATGAACAAAATATGTTAGAAAAAAGAAAAAGGAGGGATTGTGATAAATTAGTAGGGGTTTGTTCATTGTCCTTGAGAATTTAAAGAATCTACTGAGGAGATAAGGTTTCACAACTCACGGCATTGTAACATGGGGACAAATGGGGAAGGGGGGGGGTACACATCCTTGTTAAAACAAAGATTCTGTAAGATACCACCCACCCACTGCAAGACATCCTGTTTTGCCCCCACCTGAACACAAGCCCAACGTGTGATCACCGGAGGAAGAATAACGACCCCCAACAACAGACTGCGCAGCCTCAGAGCAAGTCTCAACAAGTCGACAAGTCTCGACAAGCCGGAACTTCAATGCTATAAAACAGCGACACTGGAAAGGGGAAGTTGCGTGCCGTGGCGGAGCGGAGACTCCCCAGCTGCCCAGCGCTGTTTTGCTTGTGTCTGCTTACTTGATTAATAAAATAATTTCAATAGACCAGTAAATTGTGTGGTCTAACTTATAACAATATCAACCATTTTTCCGACACGAATTACCATTCCATATATAATAGATTGCATATTTCTCCAAATAGAAATGGGAGGAATTGTGTGACAGATGAATCAAAACCTTCCAGTTATTGAAAACCAACAGATGAGACAGACTTCTCTTATCTCAGTAGCCGGATTGCAAGATGCTGATTAACTAGACCTGAATGAATCTTCTGCCCAATGGCTCTAAATGCTCATAAGAGACTTATGTATCTGATGATTTTTCTGTATCATATTTTACATCTTAGCAATATGGATGTGATGTGTGAGTGTGTACATATACATATATATTTATATATACGCATACACATCAGTGTAGGCATACACATTAAACTGTTATTGTAAAATTATTGTAGTTTTTATCTTAATTTCCACAACAAATTAGCTCATTGTAATAAATGGCTCAGTCTTCAAAATAGGACTATCATCAAAGTTTACAATTTATTAAAGGAATAGAGGTAAGCAAACAGCGCAGGGTGCGCCAGGAGTCTCTGCGCCACCAAGAGGCACACCAGTTACATCAAGCAGCTGATTTTTATGCTCCTAGGCTGATACATATTCATTACTACTTCTAAAAAAAACCCAGGGTTATTATAATTAGTTTCCGGAATCCAAACCCTCCCACTGGCACATGCGCGTCAGTCTCCGGTGGTCCCCCTGGGGGTCTCTGCGGGTCTCTCGTGCTGAAGGCTCATAGTCTTCCTCCCTCTTGTCCTTCTCCTTGGCTGTATGTCAGAGACTTGTGCAACGTCCCTTGCAAGCTTTGTCTTTTAGTCGTCCTTCAGCTCTCCCCTTCTCCTTAATCTCCTGGCCAGATATCAGAGACTTGCATAGTGTCCCATGCAATAGTCATAATAGTTAGCAGTTATTCTGAAACCCCCCAGATATCAGAGACTTCAAGGAAAAGACTACAAATACATTTCCCTTCAAGCTCTCTATTGACACGAATAGCTAAAACATTCCTTTGCAAGATACAAGAATTATATACATTAACCACTCTGTTTTTCTTAGACTTGTGGTTATACAAGGGTATGTAAGACAGAAGATCACATTCATCATACCATGCGGCCCTAACATTGTTCCATATTGACATGAATCAGATGAACACATTTCACATGGATTACCCAGTCAATGGGGAAACAGGGGAGGGTCCCGGTCCTTGAGAAGTAAAGTATATAAACTGTACTGTGTGACTAGTAAGCGTGCTTCTGCTTGTGGTATGCCCACCACTGCAATCGCGAATAAAATTGCTACTTCACTGAGATCGTCGCCTGAGCCTATGTTATTGGCTCAGGCCAATATGATGTGAGTGTTTCTCACATCTGTTGGGGAGAGATGAAGTTATGTCATCAATAAAGAACTAGCAGTTACTGATCCTAAAAGAACCCTGGTTTCCGTGTGGTCTTTACGCCACAAAAATATCTAGGAAAATAACTGTATATGCTTCTCCAGTAGAAGACTAATTTTTAATGTCCTAAATATATGCTGTTGCTTATCTGTGGGAGAATCTTAGCATCAGAAAAAGACACTGCTACCAGCAGAAGACATAGAACATACTTAATTCCTTTTTTTCACACATAAAAAATCCATTACTTTGTGTTAGTTGGGCAAGAGATGTCAATCAGAAACTGGAAGTGCTCAGGGATCCCTCAGTAGCTTACAAAAATATTTCCACATCTAGAATTTCAATTAATTTAAATTACATTTAATGACTTTGTCTTTCTTCATTTCTCTCTCTGTTCACAGATGTATGTATAATTGCATTTATTCTAATTAATATTGCTGAATTTTAATCTACACTCATGTGCTGCTGCTTAAACATGGTTAGTTTCTAAGCTAAGTCTCAAAAAGTTCTTATTAAAACTTTATGAATCCATGAAACATATGCTTTCTGAATTATCTTTTTTTTTTTCCCCTGGAATTTCAAAGAACTTATGATTTAGTATTAAAATTTGCTTATGGAAATGTATGCAGTTTTGAGTTTATCAAGGTCTAGTTATTCAAGTTATGCTGTTTTTCCCTCAATTAGATTGCTCATCCAGTTCCACAAGAACAAAAGTACTATACTTTGTTATCCATTGGATATCTCCATGTTGTCTTCTCAGAAGAAACACAAGATAGTCACACTGACTAGTACTCTGGTATTGTTGGTTGTGTCCATGAATTTACTTACCGGCTGTCATCTGGACAACCGAACTTTGGAAGATGATTTTGGCCTTAGGGAAAGTGCTTTTAAATAGTTTATCTGTATCTCCAAATGCACAAATATTTTCCTTAACCATGGTTAGTAGTTAGAGATCCTCAAAGGTCCTTAGGGATGAGATATCTAATCAAGACTTAATTGGATAACCCACAGCAACTAAGTTCTCTGTAACTGTCTCTGAATGAACTTATCAAGTATGAGGCAGTGATTTGTCTTAATCATTTTTTGGTGATGCATAAGCTATGTGAAATTACTTCATATATTAGTTAGAAACTAAGATTAAGCAATCAGACATTACTCCAGTTCACTTAACACACAGTCAATTCTTAAACTTGCTGATCTTATGGGTATTTAAAACTTGCTGATCTTATGGGTATTTATTTGCGCCTCTCTAAGGATATATAACCAGCATGCAAAGCCATTACTGCCCTGTAAACAATTCACATTTATACATCCAGGTTCACAACCTACCCAATGCTCACAGACAATACATGGCCTTCAGTTGCTGGCTGTTGAATTTTAAATTTCTTTTGATTGTTTTACTGTTTGAAAGTAAGTAAATAGGGAAAAAAAAAAAAAGAAAAAAAAAAGTTTGCTAAGAATAAATACAACGAAAGGTTAATTAAAGGAGATAGGAACACTTGCACTATAGGACTGGCACATGGACAAAACATCAGAATAGGACTTAAGTGACCTGTTTCATGTTACCTGTTCTGCCACAAGTTTCTTGTATGACATGGGAAAAATTTGAATCATTCATCATTTAAATGTCCATTTATCAATATATACTTCTTCCTTTCTCCCTCACTTGTCATAAACATTTAGATTCGCATTTCTGCTAAGCAGAAACCATTTCTTCTAGTGTTGCTAAACACCTAGTTACAAAAATCATCTGGAAATTCCAGGTTGAACTGAAGAATGAAGCACGTAAAGCAAAATTCTGACTTTTTTCAGGTGGCTGAATTGCCAGCTACAGCTTCATTCTTCCCTTCTTTCATGTGTCACACATGCTGTCTGAGGGATAGAGAATATATCCTGTGTGCAGCTTCTCTCTAGTTTGGGTTTCATTTCTATGTTGAAGATAAAGTTTCCTTTTAGTCTGCTGGGAAAAAGAAAAAAAAAAAAAAGAAAAAAGAAGGAAAAAAACAAACTTCAGAGCAGTCTTTTGACTCAATGTACTGGCGAAGCATATTAAGTTAGGTTATGTTGCTGGAAGAACATAAACAAGAAGTGCAAGGAAGGTTATGCTGTGAAAATACTCCTAGGTGGGCTGCCAAATTGCACCCCTTTGATTGTACTGTCAGTCTAGTAAAAATCATTAAAAAAGGGAAAAGGAAGTTTGATCCATAGAGCATTTGGTCTATTCCCAATATTTCAGGTTGATTTCTCGACACTGTGGAGGACATTTGCTAATTACTAAAGATCTCTGCATTCTGGTTTGCTCCCATTTGCACTTTAAAAAGCTGCTATATGAATAGGTAACAGCTTTCTAAGCTGAAAATAAGTGTGAACCATTCTAAAA